CTGCTTGGACAAGAAGGTCATGCAGCCAGGGGTGTGAAGAACCCACTCCACATGACAACTAAGGAAGGCCACTGTCCCTTGCTAAAGGCAGTCTCACTGGCAAAGAGGGCAGAGTCCAGAAGGCTGGTCAGAAGGGACTTCACCCAAGCAAGACTGTGCCAGCAAAGAGCCACAAATTCTTGCTAGGAATCTGTCATGAACGCTGCTCAACCCATCTTTCCTGCATTTATCAGCAGGACCTTGGCACTTAGCAGCATCTATAGCATGCACTGGCATTCTCATTTCTATCCCAGGCTCCTTTTCTTCCCCAAAGTGCCTTGGCCAGCTTTCACGGGTCCTTCAAACAGCTGCTAACACAACAGCTGCTGCCTGTTCTGAGGCCTCCTCGGGGAGCTTGGGGGGAATGCAGTGTGTGGGCAGCTGCAATCAATCAAACCTCTGTTTCGGCATCCCCACCCCTCCCTGTGAATGTCTTGCTTCTGTTTGAAGCACTGCTGAAAAACAGACTTTGTTGCTCTTTCAAGCTGACCAGCATGGAGTTAAAAATATGGCAAGGACTGTGACACCCAGGGGCCTGGCATTCAATGACTCGTCTTATTAATTTAATTGTTGCTTTTCCTGAAATCTTTACTCACACATATGATCTGCGTCTAAATGGCCATGCATAGCTTGAGTCTTGCCGGGAGACAAGCAATGCTTGGTGTTTAAACCAGGTCTCAATAAACAGTAACTAAGATTAGCAACAGCCTTGCCAATAAGCAACTCCTATGTTCTCGTCAACCCTGCACTTGATAGCACAGTCACTGTGCAAAGTAGAGGCTATATTCACACGGATGCCCCAGAAGACCATGCAAGGAAGAAAGTATAGGAGGAGGACTGTAGGGTGTATCAGAATGCACTGATCCCCTGGGCTGCCTTTGAGCAGTTCACTCTGTAGAGCCAAGAGGTGGTAACAAGAACAGGGAAGGCAGGTATTTTCTAACTAGGTCCTTACATCATTTCCCCCTCTAGAGCTCTCCTCACTGCCATCAATCTCCCTCCCTCAAACCCACATGGCCAGGGCACCTGCAGCTTCATTTGGCATCGCTGCCTACAATCTTGGCATTGGGTCTGGGGTTTGAACTCAGGGCCTTGCACTTGCTAGGCAGGCACTCTACCACTTGAGCCACACCCCCCCAGCAAGGCACCATGGTTTTCAGAATGAGGAAAGACAATCTGAAAGCAATTTCTTCACCCCACCCACTGTGCCTCATCCTCACTGCTGAAAAAGCCAAGGGCCGCCGCCACTGGCTAACAACAGCTGTGCCCCAGGGATGCACAGGGAAGGGGAGGCTAGTGGGCTCCCGGGATATATTCCTCTGGGTTTCAAGGGCAATAGACACAAAACAAGAATGCTCATATAAGGCCAACTTCCTGTGTGAGGGGCAAATCCAATTCTGTGACCATTTCATAACCCTCGGCTCTCAACGTAGAGTTCATGGCAGGTGGGGCTGAGCTGCAGGCAGGCCTGAGGCTAACAGGCCACCTTCCCATTTCCAAAGAAAAGAGGATGAATAAACAAGAAGCAGTCAGTGGCAAAGACAGAAAGGGAGGCTACAACAGGAGGCAAGGCGAACAAAAAGGAGAAAAGGAGTTCTTAGACTGAGGGTGCCTTCCAGAACACCCACCCTCCATGTCACACTTCTAACTCCCGAGCTGCCCACTGTGAGCCCACACCTTCCCTCCAGTCCCATTGCCTGTGATGATGTAAGTGTCTGTCAGCACTCAGCCTGTGTGCTGGGTGATATGTGTATGTATATGCACACACGCACAGAGATGCACGTTTATCAATACAGACACACATGCCCATATGCACACATGAACACGTAAGCTCATTACATACACATTACTTCCCCTGTTTGTCCCACAGTCCTGGGTTGATATGGTTGTGGTATTTGCTACATAGAGATGTTAAGCCATTTGCCCATGGCTCCTACCTCTTGCTCTTCTTCTGGAGGCCTTCTGGTTTGTCAATATCCCCTTCTGAATGTGAACCCCAAAATGAATACTACATCTAAAAGGGCCCTGGCAGGCTTAGCAACCAATACAGTCTGTTTCCCCAGGAGGGGTTGGAATGGACAAGCCTCAAGGTCATACCTGCTTCTACCCAGAATCTATGTCCAGGTCACCTACTCCAGCCTCACCCAGCTGCAGTGCAGGGCCAGGACCTCAGAGCTCTCTGCCCTTGCCTACTGTCTGATTCTCGTGAGTCTCACCCTGGCCCCACTTCTGCTGGCAGACTGGCTCTCACTGTCCCTCTGGCTGCTCTAATGGCCAGAGGGAAGCCCTGGCATGCTTGCACACACTCAAGGTCTGCTCTGGGCCCCAATCAGTGTTTCAGGGGAGCCATGGTTTATCAGAACACCCAGCTACTCTACATGCCTAACTGGAAAGGCACTTTGTCCCTTTAATCTGAAATGTTCACATGCCTGGTCCCAGAAGTCATGCACAAAGGGACTCCTTCAAAAGAACGCACAAGTGGAGTATGTTCTAAAAGCAAAGACCCATGAAACAGTCGTGTGCCAGCTGAAGGAAGCAAAGGCCGGTATCAAACCTTTCCACGAAAGGAAGTCTTTCTCTAGTAAGCAAGCAGACCCTGCACTTTTCTTGGTATTATAAATGTTGAGTGAAGCCACAGCATGAGGGCGGGGTGGGGGGGAGGGTCTGTGAGCACTGATCCAACTTCAACCATCCTTTGGCAATGTGTAGGGTTACAAAACCAGGCCCAGGGCCCTACCATGTCCTGGCTGAGTCCAGGGCTCTTTATGAACAAATAAGGACTGCCCCAAGTCTGGTCGTCAGGGTTCCCTGGAAAATAAGGATCATTTCATGAGGCCATAAATTATCTGATGAGGGAGTCGCAGCAGGCAGAGCCCCAGAGCCTCACAGAGAGTGAGCTGGTCCAGTTTAGATGCTCAATGGGAGATCAGTGAGGCTCCATCCCCAGGGCTCTGGCCACAGGCCATTGGGTACACAAGCTTCACAAGGGACCCTCTCTACTTTCCCTATACTCTGTCCTACACAGGACTCCCAGACAAGCAGGCAGCCAAGGACAGATAGTCTGAACCTGGGTAGCCTCCTCAGGCTCCAAGGTGTCTTTCCGGATCTTGGAGGCCTGCCTGGAGTGGATGAGACAACTTATACATCTGGGCATTGCCCCACAGAGCAATATATTTTTAAATAGTTTCTACCCAAGTGAGGCTGGAAAATGTCTCCAGTGGTGCCAGTGGTGTTATTACAACTTGTGGCCAGTAAAATATAATAACATGTGTAAGTTGTTTTTATTACCTCTCTATCTGATTAGCTAATAAAATAAGTTCAGCATTTCAAAAGCTAACTGAGGCTCTGTATTATACTCAGAACTCAATACTCTGGGTTTCCTTCAGAAGTCACCTTTCCAGACTTTTTACCTATTTAAATCTGTCTGAAAAGAGGGACTTCCTCTTTGTGTCTGTCCAATGCATGTGTTCAGCTACTGTCCAGTGAGTCAAGTCAGAAATGTCCACTGCACAGGAAGGAAAAAGGGACACACCCAGAGCAGAGATAAGAAGACAGTAAGGGAGCAGGCATTCTGCCCCACACTTCTCCAGGCTCTTCTCCAAGTGGACCCATGGCCACAGAGAAGGCACAAACCTATCACCAACTTGCCCTCCAAATGCCCCAGCCAGAGCCAGGGCTCTTGAACAAAGGTGGCCCAAAATTCCAGACTTTAGGGCAAGGTATGCTACTCTTCTTTTGTGGGGACCTCTAGGCTGGGAGGGGGGAACTAAGGAGACAGGAGGAAACTCCATGGACAGAAACAGTGTCTTTCTTCTGAATCAGAGGAGGCCCAGCTGAGAAAACAGCATCAGGCCTTGAAGGGTAATGGCTGTGCCCTCCTGCTGCAGAGCAGACACCATGAGTCTCCCTGCCCTGGATCTGGCCATAGTCTGAAGAGCAAAGTCAATGCTGCTGAGACCACCCCCTCACCCACACACAGATCTCTATCTCCTCAAACTGAGCAACAACTGATGTTTCTATACAGAAGACCAAAAAACCAATGGTCACACAGTGGCACTAACCATAGAGAGCAAAGAGTGCTGTGTTCTGTCCACCACACCTGCCCATACTAGAGTCAACTGTCACAGGGCCAACCCTACAACCAGGGCTCGTGATCACACATTCCCATCCTCAAGCCTCCTGGCAAGAATCAAATACAGCCAGTCCTCAGGCTCTGACCATCCTCATGACCCTGTGTATCAAGGTCATCTCGTTCAGACCAAACCCAAAGCAAGGCTCCAAGACAATGAGGATGAAGTCTGAGGCACCTAGGCGCATGCCAGAAGCTCCTCGTGTAGTGACAGCGAGGACATCTGTATAGGACATGGGCCACAATTTCTTGGTGACTTAACACTTTTGATAGTTTAATTGACGAGTAAGTTCCTCCTCCCTCCCTCGCCTGTGGCCCTGGTCTTAAGATCAGCATAACCTGAGGGCCACTGAAGGCCACTGTGTGTCTTACAGTGGCTGGAGGGTGGGTCCTGAGAGAGAAGGATCCAGGATCCAGGAGGGTCTGGAGGGAATAGAGTTCTGTCACATTGGACTGCCCTCCCAGGCCTGCCTCTCCCCATCTGTGTGCTCCTGTACCACCAGTACTGTGCCTCACAGGGAAAGAGCATGTCTCATTTTAAACAGAGGGAAATCGACAACTTAAGACCATTTTTTTTTTGTCTTTTCTTTTTTGGTGCTGGGATCGAACCCAGGGCCTCATGCATGCTAGGCAAGCGCTGTACCACCGAGCTACATCCCAGCCCAAGACCATCTTCTTTGAATAGGATTTTAAAAACAAGGGAATGAACTCACTCCTAGTCATCTCTGAGATGGGCACCATGCACTTGGCTGGATGGACCAGGAGCAGCAGAGGTTCCAGGGAGCTCTATGCCATGGAGCAGTGAGCTCCTTCAGGCCACTGGGGCACTTACCTGTGCCATCTTGGCAAGGTCTAGGGAGGGTCTCTGCTCCTGCACTTCTTCCGGGCGCCGCCGTTTCACACCGACCTTCTTGTCGTTAAGGACACATGGCTGGGAGCGGCTGCGAGCAAGCCCACTGGAGCGTCTCATCAGCTCTGGCGTTGAGGCAGGTGTGCTGTTGGCTGAGGGTGGACAGTATTCCACGAAGGAAAACTGCTCATGCGAGCAGGAGAGGGACCGCTGCAGGTCCAGCCGGCCCCCTCCCATGGGGTGTGGGTCAGGACTCCAGGTGTCACCCACCTGTCCACAGGGGGCCGAGCCTGGTGCCCCTTGGCAGGGCTGTCCCCCGAAGCGGTGCAGTCCCACCTGGTGGCAGGGTGAGGAGAGCCCATTGGCCCGGGCAGGGAGGCTGAAGCTGGAGCTCCTCTGCATGGTGCTGGCACCACTGGAGTAGCGCTGGACACTTCCCCCGCTGTAGCATCGTCTCTTCTCCACGGGAGTCCAGACTTTGGACCCCAAGGGCCGCCATGACGTCCGGCAACTGGACATCTCATCGGAGAAGGACAGGGACCGGCACTGGCGCTTGCTAGGGGGTGCTGAGGGGTTCCCATTGTGGTCGCTGAGGCTGAGGTCCTTGATCAGGCTGGTCACTGCACAGGCAGTCACTGCCTCCCGGTGCCATAGGGAGCCATCCTGACACTTTTCAGGCAGGCATTCCCAGATGCTGGCACTTGGCTGGTCAATCTGAAGAGGGCATTTCCTATCCAGATCTCGCCATCTGTCATTTTCTGGTGCATAAATGACAAAGAGAAAAACAGGACTTGAGAGGCCTTATAAACCTAGCCCTCTATTTCTATACCAACAGCCTGTTTGTCACATAGGATTGGGAGCCATAAAGGCCCTTAAAAGCCAACCAGTTCAACTTCATTTCACAGATAAGGAAGTGGGGTTTAGAGAGTGAAAGTGAGTTCAAAGTGTTGAGCTGGAAACCAAGCAAGGCCCAAGATTCAGGTAAACCCCTAAGATTCCAGATGTGGTTCTACCCTGCCTCCCAGGAAAAACAAATGCTTTTCACCCAAAAGTTCTTCTCATCTTCAGATGGAAACTGACACACCCCAGAAGTGGCAGAGTCGAGTGTGTCTGTTGAGTCCTTTCTCAGCTCTCTGTTGTTTCAGGACAGGACTCAATGCCCTGGCAGAAGACCACCACCAAAACTGAGTCTTGGTACTTCAGATGATGGAGGAAGAAACGGGTCTGGGGTTCTACCAGGTTAGTTCACTTGAATTTCATCTTTAAAGCACTTACTGATAACAAGAAGTGGACTTTTATTGAGCTATGTTCCCTCTCCACCAGAATCTTCAATGATATCAACAACAGCCGATCACAGTGCTGTGTTCACTTGCCCTTTTTTTTTTTTTTCTTGGTGATACTGAGGGTTTGAACTCAGAGCCTCACACTTGCTAGACAGGCACTGTGCTCTACCACTTGAGCCATACCACCAGCCTTTTTTATTTCAGTTGTTTTTCCAAATAGGGTCTCCCAAATTTTTCCCAGGGCCAGGCCCTGACTACAATCCTACCACTCACAGCCTTCCGCATAGCTAGGACCACAAGCATGTGCCACCATACCCACTTACTGGTTGAGAAGGTCTCACTAACTTTTTCGCCTGGGCTAACCTCAAAGCACGATCTTTCCAGATCTATACTTCCCGAGTAGCTAGGATTACAGGCATGAACTACCATGCCTGACTTCACTTGACTGAAACTTAGGATATTTAAAACAATGAAAATCTGTAAGAGCAAGTCCTGGGCTGCAGACACTTAAAGTTTACTTAAATGTAAACTTACACATTCAGGTCTGTACTTGAATGTATGAATAAATAAGTTAACCCTGCTATGAAATGCTGAATTTGCATTGTAACTTTCATTTTATTACAATATTGAAGAACTACTAGTTGTTTCTCCACTATGGAATCATGTGCCATGCTGGGAATTTTAGGTGATGCTAAGATAAAACTTGACACAGTTCTTGTATTCAACTTTACAGTACAACACAAAAGCAAAGTTCAGAAACACAATATGCTCTTTTTTCTAACATTCATAAACAGTGCAAATAGGAATGGCTTGAGTCAAGCAGTTAGCAGGACAGATGTGAACTGACGTTCAGCAGGTGTTTACATGCACTCTGGTCTTACTGCAACGAGGAGCATTCACTGAGCATCCTGGGCCCTGCAACCCACACAGCACGCAGAGTGCAGGACCATCGCGGTCCAGATTGGGAGGGCAAGCCCTGGTGAGGGTTGAGTAACTGGTTTAGGGCTATGCAGCTTAACTGTGACCCAATACAAATTCAGGCTGGTCTGAGCCCGAGCCCACACTTCTCTTCATCATACTACAGTGCTGAGGGGAACCACCAGGGAGCCTGACGCTGGCCCCGACTCACGGATCAGTCAAGAACTGGTACAAGTTCAGAAAATTGTAATTTAACCCACATGCAATGTGTGCTCCAGGCAGCAAGAACTATGCACCTAGCTCCTCTATTGTGGCCATTTCTCAAAGGCCACTGAGACCCACTCTGGAATGAGCATCACAACCACCAGCTGGTCCACTAGATCAAGAGAGTAAACAATGCACCCCAAAGCAGGGGTCCTCAAGCCCAAAAAAAACAAGTCAGGGCTGAATGTGATGCTCCTTCCTCTCGAGTACCCTGCTGAGGTCATGAGATACAGGGAGAAACTGCCCAGGGGCTGTACCCACCAAGGGCCTAAGAGGCTGCAGGTATAAGAAAGAGATTTTCTGTAAGCCCAGGCAGGCCAGTTAAGAACAAAGCAGGGCTGTGGTTAAACATGCAATTTGGCTCATCCCAGCATCTTTCCAGGAGCCGACCATGGCTCTGACCACTGTGTGTCCAGACACCTATCCCCTGTCGGGTTTTAATGAGTTGCTTCTAAACATATAAACATTTCCAAAAGGGATCTTTTTGTAAGTTGTGTTTGTTGTTCAAGTATGTCTTCTGTACCCATAAAAACAGTCCCTTCCAGTATTCATCATACTTTTTAAAAAGTGGCAACTTGACATTAGCCAGCAATTCAAAGATCAGTGAAATAAAATAATAAAGTGAAACCAGAAGAAATATAAAGTAACATGGAATGGGTCGTGACTGTTACAGAACAAGGAAAGTTATTGTGAGAAAACAGTGGAGATTTATGCATGATGACGCTCACCAAAATGATATGAGTAACAGCTTCCTGGAAAGGATACGAGTGCTTTAGCCTTGCTTCCAGGGCCGGCACTCACTGGTTCCCCAGCAGACCCTATACTCCAGGTATCAAGTTTCCAATGACATCGGAAGTCAGACAAGAATCACAGAGTCAAAACAGCCCTTGGAAATCTCTGGTCAAGCCAGGTATGGTGGTATACCTCTGTAGTCCCAGTACTGGGGAGACAGAGGCAGGAGGACTGCAAGTTCAAGGACAGCCTGGGCTACACAGAGAGACCCTGTCTTCAAAATAAAAACAAACAAACAAACGAAAAAAGTCCTGAAAGCATGGCTCAAATGGTAGAATGACCTGCCTACAAAGCGCAAGGCCCTGAGTTCAAACCCCCATACCATCAAAAAAAAAAAAAAAGAGAGAGAAGAAAAAAGAAAATCCCTGAGCAACGCATAAATTACACCGCTTCTGATTTTGTGTAGCCAGCCCTGAAAAGTAATTCCTATACACCAGTAATTCTTCATTAAAGTAAAAGTTTTATCATAAAGCAGCATGACTGAGCCCAGGTAAAATCCAAATGCAGAGGCTGTGAGCAGGGGAGGGTGTTAACTCACTTGGCCTTGAGCCTAGCATCAAATCTCCCCCGGGTACCAGGAGAATGGGGAACTCTAACATGCCTGCTTGCTGCAGGTCCTACTCCAGTTTAAAGACTGAGCCCGTGAGTGAGTCCTGTGAGACCTCATTATTTAAGATTTCTTTGTTGTAGGGAGGTCTCAGTTAACTTGGTCCACGGTTCAATGAGACTGAAGTTGCAGTCTTCCACAAACAGCTCCTTCACACCTTCACTCTTTGCAAAGGTTTAGACTGTTCTGCTTTTATTCTTCTACAAAAAGAGCCTCTTATTCTTCATTTGAGAGCCAACCAAGATAGGCTGCTGGTTACGCCTGTAAATCCTAACTTATCAAAGGGGGAGATAGGTGGAATGGAAGTTCGAGGCCAGCCTGGGCAAAAAGTTCACAAGACCTGGCTTCAATAGGAAAAGTTGGGCATGATGGTACGGATCTGTCATCCCACCTACAGCAGGAAGCATAAATAAGATTGTAGTCAAGGCTGGCCCTGGCAGAAAGCGAGACTCTATCTCAAAAATAATCAGAGCAAAATGGGCTAGAGGTGCTTCTCAAGCAGTAGAGTGCCTACCTCGTTAAGTACCAAGTCCTCAGAGAAAAGAAGAGTCACCAAAACCTCCTCTCAGGATACATGCACCTTCTCCATACGGCCCCCCTGTGCACCCAGAGCAATTTGCCAAGAATTCCAGTCCCATGGCTTCCATATTAAATGGGCCTTAATTATCTGATTACGTGTTGGGCCACTCACTAGCTCTGGAGCATAGCCCAACATGGCACACAGCAGATGTGGGGGAAGAGGGAGTGGATGATAAAATGCAAGCAAAAGCTGCAGAGAAGACTTTCATGTTCACTTGGTCTTACTTGTCATTTGTCCATGGTGCAGGTGACCCTTCCTTGGCCAGGAAGTTCCAACTGGGGCTCTAAATGAACCCTCCACCCCCCACCCAGGCCATAGATGGCTGCATTTGAAGCAGCCAGGAGACTGGCTAGCAGTGTTATGTCTGAGATATTTTGAAAATTCAAAGCACTGCTCCTGTGTATCAACACCAGCCAGGTGGCCACTTGTCCTGCCTGCAGTGCAGATAAAGTTGTGATTGTTTCTATCTTTATCAGGTTGAGAAGTACAACATGAGAAAGTAAAAACAACCGACACTATGCTTCCTCATTCACTCAGGGAACAGAAAGCAATTTGTTGGGTCAGGTCACCAGACAAAAGAAACAGGAATAGAAGCTAATTTTTAATGGCAAACTGCCCCACGTGCTGGGTTCCAATGTCACACTGCACAAAGGACCTTGGTAGGACTGTGAGAAGAGGAGACAAGGTGCCCCCGCCCCTCCATTCAGTATCACTTTCTGCACAAACAACTACAACTCTTCCAAAAGTGACAAAGTGCAATGGGAAGGGTGTGTCCTTGGGTTCAAACCTCAGCTCTGCAAGTTCTTTAATCTCTCAGAGCTGCTGAGTGAAGAAAACAGAGGCCCTGGAAGCCATCGTTATAATTCCAATACGATAGTAGTAGACATGCTTGTATGCTCTTCAGCACCTGGTTACCAACCTCTGTGGACCTTGTACTTTCTACATGAGGATTTCCCAAAGTGTGGTTTTTGGACCACTTGCAGCACCATCCTTGGTGGGGAGGGGAGGTTGGTTAAAATGAAGGTTCCTGGGCCCTGTGCTTAACCTGATAAATAAGACTTTATTAGGAGTAGGAAAAATCATTTAAATAAGCTCTTCAGGTTACTTTGATACAATAAAATTTTTTTAAAAAACCCAAGAATCACTGCTCTGGACTACCAGCTGCACAGAGGCCTTGGTCAGAATAGCAACCCAGAACACTGAAAGTTTCTGGACAGTTGATGCTTCTGTTCTCTACAAATGTGGATTCATAACATCACTGGAAGTTGGGAAGTTGCTGTGCTTTTGCTTTGGGCAATTACAGAAACTAGAACT